TAGACCTAGTTTAGTCCTGGTTTAGTCTTGGTTTATACCTGGCTTAGTCCTGGTTTAGTCCTGGTTTAGACCTGGTTTAGACTTGGTTTAGTCCTTGACTGCGCCTAGAAATTCTGTCCACAAAAACAATGAACAGAACAGGTGACAAAGGGCAGCCCTGAGGGAGTCCAACATCGCAATGGGACCAGGTCAGATTTTTTTCTATGTTCTTTTTCATTCTAGGGATGTAACAATATCTAACACTCTCGATACAATATGTTCACAATACACATTTTACCGTAAGATATTTATTGCAATATTTATAGTATATATAATATAGACCCTACCCCACCCCCAAAAAGACTGCCTTATGCCTTGCACTTTCTGCCTTTTGCACTATTTACTATTTCCACTTGACCCACATAAGAAACAGCCTTTTATTACTGCACTGTACTGTACTGTACACTAGTGTTTTTATCTTAATTTATTTATCTATGGTTACAGTAGTGGTTAGTGATGATGTTATCTGTTGTCTCTTTGCACGTAAATGTTGTCCTGACTTGTACTTTAATGTTCGTCCAATCATAATTTCGATTTCTTTGTACTGTATGCCTGGTACATGTGAAGAAACTGACAATAAACCTAAGTTTGAACTTTGAACTTTATATATATTAATATTTTGTGTAGGCTGACAAGTGTGAATATGCTACTTTTTGTCATAATGCAAATAATTACAATATATAACTGTTTAATAAAGTTATTTCATTATGTGGATTGGACTAAAACAGAGCAAAGGATCATGGTCTATGTAGTTCTCTCTGTTTTTTAGCTGTTGCTGCACCATAACAATGAATTTAAACATAGAAACCAGTAAATCGATATATTATAATGGCCTCCTATGATATTATTGAGACTTTGGACGATACGCTATCACGATATTTCGGTTATTCGTTACATCCCTAATTCGTACTGGTGTAACAAAAGCGTTTTAAGGATGGTACAGTGGTTTAACCCAGGTCTCTGCCAAAAAGAAATGTACTACACAAATAATTACAAACGTACAGTGCTTAGTAAACTGAAAGCGAAACCGAAACCATACCCATCAGCTCTTTTTACAGTACTTCACAGGTAAGTTACACACTGAACCTGTATACGCGTTACAACACACAAGGTTATGTAACAATAGATTAATAAGTGCAGTATCATTTGGCACAGTTTCAGATAAATAGTAGTCACTTGTTCATTGTAAACACACAAGAGGGTGCTGGGTGATAAAAGTATGTGGAAAGTATTGACATAAAATAGTAGAAAATCCAAACTTGAAGTATGTTTAATGTACAGAGGGTGAAGACTGAGGCATGTATAATGTCAGATGATCTTGAGCATGATATGATTCTTTAAGTTAAATGCCTAAGATCATTGTAAGGGTTATTTGTAGGGATGGGACAAGATCTCGTGGCACAAGATCACGTATGACAAAATTGCTACCACAAAAAATGATCTTGTGAGATTTTTTCCCCCACGTTTTTACGTTTGGATTGGATACAAAACTGAAGATAAGTACCAGTGAGTTACTGTATTTTTGGGACTATAAGGCACACTGGATTATAATGTTGATAATTCTCTCATTTCTTTTCATACATAAGGTGCACCGGACAATAAGGCGCATTAAGTGAAACAAACGGACAACACTTGAGACTGATCCCTTAGCCTAGGTGTCCATGATCCATTGGCAGATCGTGGCATAACTCGCCCGGCGTTTCCTCCCTGTCTTGTTGAATATGTATTATGAATATGAATGTGAGTGGATAATTTATACACTGAGTAATAATGTGTTTAATGCAGCTTTGCGCACATTTGTTCACGTTTTACAGAAACAAAACCTAAATCTACTTGGTTAATTTGCATAAACTATAAGTGCCCTGATGCGGTCAAGTTCTGTTGGACTAACTCCGCGAGGCTCCTATGGCAACCAAAATGCTCCAACAATCCATCAAGCGGTGCGGCTTCGTAGCTTACCAAAGTCGTACTAAAACATTTTGACAGATTTTTGAGCACAGTGTACCACATAAAATCGGTTCAAGGTCAGTAAACACAACCAGAATTAAGATATAAAGTGCACCAGATTATAAGGCGCACTGTCGATTTTTGAGAAAATGTAAGGATTTTAAGTGTGCCTTATAGTCTGAAAAATACGATACATTTTTTGAGTAACTTTAGTCCCAAAATGTGCTGCTACAATGACAGCAAAAATATTAAACAAAGTAACTCAAAAATGGTAAGGCCAAAATTGGGAAATGAATTGCACAATTTGTTTATTATGAATCATGTCAAAATCTCATTTTGTCTCGTTCTTGTAGTTCCAATCTCGTGTCTCATCTCGTATTGTGGAAATTGTATCTCGTCCCATCCCTACTTACTTGGATTAGGATGTATCAATGAAATTAAAGTAGTTAAAAATGTTGTAGTCTATACAGGAAAAATCCAAATTTAATAAATTGATAACCCAACCCCCCCCCTTCCCAAACAAATAAATGTCTGGGTAAAAGTACAATAAAAAGTTTTTAAAATACATTGGGAAACATACTCCACTACAGATTCCAAAGTTGTGACATGCCATATTTCAGATTAAAACAATCCAATTCAATTGAAATTATATAATAAGATTATAGGTATAGAACATATATCAAAGTTACATTTCAGGGGTTTCCTTTCCAGCTAGTAATAATTTAAAAAAATCATCAAACCTTTAATAGTTTTAATTAAGTTTCACCAAAAAACACAATATGGAAATGACAAAAAATGCACTTTACACTGCAAAAATTGAATACCTAGCCTGGTTAAAAGGCTCGAATTCATTAAAATGTTCAGAAAATCTCAACTGAGTGTATGCACTTCAGACTTTAACTCATCTTGGTATTGTTTTTTTTTTTTGCAGTGTAGGTTCACCCAGCACACCGAGGTAACACATTAGCTTATAGCAGGTTGTCTTCAGTCTCCACTGGTTCAGACTACAGAGGGTGGACTTCATGCATGAGGGTGGTGGGGATCGGCTGGGCACGACACAGGGGGCGTGGCCAGTTCACAGTATTCACAGCCGCTTCATGTACACACCGAAAAATCTGTCTACTTCAGCTGAAATGACTGAAATGTAGATCTTGATTTGACATTATATTTGCATGTATGAGACTGCGGTTACCTTTCAGTCTGAAGGTATTTGGCAACTCCCGGGCATTTAGATGTATTTTCTTATGATGTAATTGGACTTGTATAAAGTTAAATATTCTTAATACGCTCAAACAATGTGGCAGATGATTTGGCCTAAAAAAAAAAAAAAGTACTAGCTCGGACTCTTTTCGGGTCTGCTTGGCTACACAACGCAGCAAGATAACTGGATAAGAGCGAACGCAGACGCAGGCAAAAGCAAGACTGCAAAAAGAAGATATAGACTAAATCTCATTTCTCTTTTCTTGCTTCCTTCTCCTTGATTTTTTTCCTCGTTTCTGCAGGAAATGGGTGAGGAAGTCCCGCCCACAGAGGAGACAAAGCTGAGACCAATAAAGTTAGATTTTTTTCTAGGCTGTCTGCTCCTGAAGCCTCCCTCAGGTTTGTTCTTCTTTACATGGCTTTCTGTGGGACAACACTTTATATGACAGATTTGACGGACAAATGGTAGCCTGATTCATCAGCCGGTTTCATTTTGGGGAAACCGTCTGACCTCGCAGCATTAGGATTCGTTCCCTCGACAGTAGGCAGGTACTTTTTTATTTACCCAATTGCTGCTGTTTGGTCATGACGTATGTAAAGCGCCAAATCCCGTAGGAAGAAAGGCAATAAAGTCTTCTCCCCTTGATAAAATTCACCAAATATTCTCTTTGTTCCGGCTTTAAATCCTCGATCTCAGGAATCGTTGCCAACACAGAATATCTGGCTTCATCTACATCCATCTCGACCGCTTTGTTTACTGTTGTGCTGTTCCACAAAAGGGACCCAGACAGCCATGACTTGAGTTTGACGTCATGGCTACACAACTCTTCACTGATTTGCCAGTGCGCGCTCTACAACTTCCGGGATTCTTGGAAATGTCTAGTGTATTCTGATTCCTGACCTAGTCACTGGAGAGAAATTAAATTGAGCGGAGGCACAGGATGGCTAGAAAAATGGAGGATCGAGGAGAGGAATCGAGGAGAAGGAAGTGAAGTAAGAAAAATGAGACGCAGCCAATAACTTCAAATAATTCCTTACCAAACTTAACTTCAGTGGTGGCATCTTATAAGTTGAGCTTATATTTTTGCAACAACGATTTCCTGTTTATCGACGCACAACACGCAAAGTTATACCAGATTCCAGTGCATAATTCATCTAGTGTTAACCAAACCCAATACTATTTTATTCAAAGATGTAATTAAGCAGATTTAATGAATTAAAAGATGTTAAAACACAATGCAGAGGTGCGGAAAGGTGAAATAAATGCAAGTTGTTTTGTCTTTACTCTTCGCAGCACCAAAAACCTGGAATTACTAAATGCCTTTTTTGTGAGTTGCCTTATGATTTAAAAGTATATCTAAAGTTGCACCGTGTAACTTTTTGGGTTGGAGGGTCCGCTCACTACTTGGAGATATTATTCCATTGCCTGGAATGAGTCACAATATGGTATTAGACCTGGCCACTTCTATAATAACAAGCATGCGACGCCACTAAGCAAAGTTACAGGCCAGATCTATGGAGAGGCGACCCCACTCACAGTAAAAATGCATGGATTTCAAGATGTTTTTGAGCAATAAAAACAGCTTTAATTGAACGAATGCAAGATGGATTTGCTTAATGGCATACTGTGGAATATTCCAGACAAAGCAACATCGAGACAAACAAGTGATGAAGCCTCTCCTCGGAAAGTTACGCACTGCAACTTTAAGATACAATGAATAATAAACTCAGCTCATTTTCCCGCCATTTCCGCCCATAGCCCTCCCTTTGATTTCAGTGCAGTGGTAAAGTCCGTGCTATGGGGGTATTCGGCGCTAGACCGATCTCCTCTGGCCCTGTACGTGCGATCGGTTTACGATGTCCTGGTACATCTTGGAGCGGAGGAAGCGCGGGTATGAGTCCTTCTCCATCAGGCTGTAGACTTTGGACTGCACCTCGTTCAGGCAGGTCGGGGTGGGGTCCATCAGAAGGGTCTGCTTAGTCCGCTCCCTGGTGCGGTAGTCGATGTTGATCTGGAAAAATATAAGGGAAAAAATCTTTACAGCTGAGGCATAAATAAAGATTTGATTAGGGAATGCACAGATACTGGTATTGAATATCCCTATCCCTAATATCCAGCAGGAACATTTACTGGGTTGGGTATTGGCACCATGATACCAGTCCAGCTAATATCCTGGTTGGGCCTTTAAAGGGACAGTTCAGAATTTTGGACATAAGACCTCATTTCCTAGTGAGCCAGAGTGTTGGAGACGTGTGGAGATACTTTAAAAAATATTCCATCCAGTCCTTGTATTTGCAGATGTCGCTGGTGCTAGACCAGTGCATGTCAATGGCCATAGTTATCCTGCCACTAAAAACAGTCTTACCCACTCCACAAAACACCCTAAGCAAAACTATTATTACACCAGACTGTCGATGTAAATGAATGTGTTCATAGAATAATGTTTGAAATAAAACTAACATGGCATCGCATGAATTGTCACATGTTGAGGGACTATTTTCTCATATATCAGTCCGCCGCTACCATGCTTTCTATCAGGAAGTTCAACTCACTGCTGCTGCTGCTCAGACATAAATCCTTTAAATACAAGGTTGGTTTTACTTCTAAAATTATTCTATAAACACAGACATTCACATCGACAGTCTGGTGTAATAATAGATTTGCTTCGGGTGTTTTGTGGAGTGAGTAAGCGACCTCTGTAAATACAAGGACTGGATGGAATATTTAAAATGTGTCTCCACGTGTCTCTAACACTCTGGCTCACAAGGACATGAGATCTTATGTCCAAAATTCTGACCTGTCCCTTTAAGTGGATGTAAAATCGGCTATTTTACAGACAAATGTTGTCCCAGAAAGTCTCAGAAAGTTTGAACTTTTAGTCATACAAAGATATTCAGTAATTATTTGAATGATAAATAGTAATTACATAATATGGATCAATTTTGTAATAACTTAACACAGTTTTTTGGGGAAAAATCTGTTAGAATTGGATATCAGGAGATACTTAAAACCTCAGTATTGCTATTAAAATGGAAAAAGCTGGATTGGCGCATCCCTAGTATTTTAATGTGGTTCCCTCATCAAAACTACAGGTATATCTCAGGAATATAGAGTTTTTTCATGATGTTCTAATTGTTTTGAGATGTACTTGTATGCCTGAAGTGGTTTTAGATGTCTTCTATGCATCTTTGTGTAATCTTGTGGTTAGCTGTACAAGATCTTGTACAATATTCTGCCCACAAACCTACGTCAACAATGTTCCAGCACAGCCATTTTTCATAACTATACAAGAACTGGATACAAAACCATACACTACAACTTTATAATCTTGATGTGATGTGCAGTAGTTTCATAGTGGAATGCACGCTGATTGTACTTGGCAGCGCTCTAAAGGGGACTCAATGTCAGAAATGAAACTGAAACTTACCAAACATTTTAATTGCTAGTCCAATGAGATTAATTTGGTTTTACGATATTTTATGTTATTAGGTTCTTTTTTCAGACCTAGAGTTTTGTTTTTATACCTGACAGTTTCGACTGCTCACTAGCGGTCTTACTCAGAGTGGTCATGTGATGTTGCTGTGACCACACACAAAGCAGAACACAAACAACTCAAATCGGCCATTTCTGACCATTGTAAAAGAGAGAGAACCACATTATGGACTGGGAGGGAGCAAACATCATTGGGATAGAGGAAAACAAACATCGCCGCTGGATTAAAGAGGCAATTGAAATACAGAAACGTGCCCACGTGACTATAAACCAGGACGAGGGGGCTTTTTTACTCTCACACACCTGGGATACTGTCCTGAAGAAGTCAGACTGCAGGTGGCGCTGTCGTCCTGCCTCCACCGGTAGGAAGACAGCGCCAAAACCTGTTTAAATCAGCTGACCAGACACGTCACAGCAACATCACGTGAGCACTCTGAGGAAGACCGCTGGTGAGCAGTCGAAACTGTCAGGAATGAAACATAACACTAGGTCTGAAAAAAATAACCTAATAACATTTTAATTGCTGTTTTCTGAGAATATAGCATTTTCATGATGATCTAAATCTGTATTTGGTTCATAAAAGTATAGCCAAAGGTGCACTTTGTAATGTTCTGTAGTATGTAGTAATTTATTGATTTTCAGCTGCTTCCCTCAGAGGCTTTTTAGAGCTTTTAGGAGCTTCGTTTCAGCAGCTATCATTCTTATGAATACATTTTAATCTATTTATCGATCAATTTTAATACGTTGTCTTGGAAAAATCTTGTGTTTTTTTTTAATATATTTAATATTTATTATGATCTTAGCCAAGTGTGATGGATGATTTTAATTAATTGTTTATGGAACAAAACCATTCTGCACTGGAGTACTGTAACACTTTATTTTGTAATTGTGTTTTTGTACATGTTTATTGTTCATAATGTGGATGAATTAAATGTGAAATGTGGGACCTGCCTCTCAAATCTGCAAAACAAATTTACCTACAGGTACGAATAAAACAACCTAATCTAACCTAACATGATTTTGCATTTACTAAATTACATGAGTTTCCATGAGCTCATAATTCTGGGGAACTCCAGGCGAGCCAATGACATCTCCATGGAGACAAGCAGATGGGAAACCAGAAAAGTTGCTTAATGCACCTTTGAGAACACCAGGATGTCTTACAGCTGACACTGTTTTTACTGATCTAGGTATCAGTGGTAGTAGTGATTACACCAGACACCGCTGATTGAAAAACTAAACAAATAAACTAGAACGTACCTCTCTTGGCGCCTGCACGTCGATAAACTCCTTGTAGATCTTGTTGGCTTTGGAGGCCAGTTTGGTGGAGTTCTTGACCTTCTTGTAGTCCTCACAGGCCATCCAGAACTCGATGTTCTCGTCACTGAACTCCGACTTCAGGAAAGTCCGGAACACCACCAGCCCATCTGCAAACACACACAACAGGGACAAGAACGTGAGCGTGAAGAACCGGTGTTGCATTTGAGGTACATTCAGGACTGTGGAATAAAAGTAGTCATTCCTGTTGATAATTATGAGCATGGTAAACCAAAGACTGAATTATGTTAGGAAGAAGGAAAATCAATCTTTATAGAATTGCCATTGGTTGGTCCCCTTTGAAACTTGTAATGAAGATGTCTAAATCATAAACCTTCATAACGAAACTCTATTAGTGCAACAAAATAAATCACACTGCAAAAAAATTTAATCTAGCCTGGTTAAATGGGTTGAATAAAAAAAAAAAAAAAAAAAAAAAAAAAGATTAAGAAAATTAAGTAATGTTGACAAGGTTAGATTTGATAAAAAAAAAATAAAAAATCACATATCCCAGTGGTCCACCATCTGCTTGTCTCCGTGGAGATGTTATTGTTTTATCTGAAATGTTCCACAGTCTGACATTAAACACATCTATCTCATCTGTCAAGTTACAGTTACACTCACAGTAACACATTTTTCATAGTGTTACACGTGTAACTGTATAAAAAGCAAGCTTGATACGTTAAATGCCATAGTGTGGAACATTATAGGCAAATCATCAACATATCCATGGAGACGTCAACCAGAAAAGTTACAGAGTATATCTTTAAATTGCCTATATTATGCTATTTTCTGATCTTTGTTGTTTAATGTTGTTTTATTTATTTATTTATTTATTTGTTTTTATTCACACACATTTGCACACAAACTTCTTATTTAGGCTTCAAATTCTTCTCTCAAACTCATTCCACCTTATGATGTCATGAGGTAATACAGGCAGTGCTCCACTGTGTTTTTAAACTCCATAGACCTTCACTTGAATCATTTGGATAATTTCATTCCTGGAATTGCCAGTTTCTGCTGAACAAAGAGTAAAAGGTAGCTGTTAAGGTATAGTTTCATGATATCACAAGGTGGAACAGAGCATTTTGAGCTTTGGAGATGTACCGACTAATAAAAAAAGCTTACTCAAACATGTGTAAGTCAAACAAAACACAATTCTGGGTATGTTTTTGATGAAATAACTACATTCTAACATGGCTTAAACCTCACGAAAGGGGTCCAGGGGGTCTGCCGAAACGAGGTCCCGGACTCCACCAACCACTACATCGGACTTGCAAGACACGGAGATGCGCTTCTTGCTTCAAAAACGGGACAACCGCATCATATTTTTGTAAGCAACGACGTCCGGCTTAACAACTGGTTCGATCCGTCGTGGCGAAAGAGGATGTTACTGACGCTGAAAAGCAACAAGTACAAATCGAGTCACGCGCACATGCTTTTGGGGATGTTGTTGCAAGTTTGCCTTACGAAGAACACGACGCTAGATCCCGTCATGTCTGTGTACATAAATCCGTTCGGAGGTAGCCGTTCGGAAATCTTCAAATTGCGTAATATGGGACCTTCAGTGTGTCGTGCTTTCCAAAGGGAAGAACATCCAAGACGAAAACATCGTTAAGTAATCAAAAACGTGAAGTGTCTGCATTTCAACACGACTTGTATATTACCATACTCCTACATAGTAACACTAGAAAGCACTAACACATCCCAGGACATATAATTCTTGATTTCCTGCACTTTGGCGTGTTCTTGAAAGCTTCCTGAGAGCCTTGTTATTTCATCTAATATAAAGTGATTACGGGTCTGATTTACCGCTGTTCCATTTTGTTCCCAGAAGCGAAGGCGTCACAGAGCTTCGCCATTATGTGTGTGTGTGTGTGTTTTTTTTCTTTGCTCTGATAAAGGTCTCATTAGCGGCCTCTCTCGCTTGCATCCATAAATAAGAGGAGGTGGGTTACGGTCTAAAAGGGTTCGGTCACAATGACATGTTAACACAACCTTTATTTTGTCTGCCGTATAAACAATAAAAGCCCACGCATCGACAACAGGCATGAGAGATGGTGGTGGCTGAGTGGTTTTCTCGTCTCAAACTCAATTTCGATACTAAGGAATGGACTTGCTACTCAATACCAACTCTGATACCATGACGATCATTAAAAACACTCTTTATTTAGACTATAGAATGTGATTTTCTACATTAAAGGGCCGGAATTTCACTATTTTCTGATCTCGGTTATAATGTCGTTTCCTCATCACAGTTTTTTGGAGACAGAGTTAAATCCCGTTAACGTTCCACCCCTTACCCGCCCGGGCCAGGACTAAACCAGGACTAAACCAGGACTGAACCTACGGCGTGTCATTAGCGGATTATAAATATATACAAGTCACAAACCGCAGAGCCGATCGTGAGGACTACATCAGGACTACATCAGGACTACATCAGGACTACACCAGGACTAAACCAGGTCTAAACCAGTGTCATTAGCATACATATATACACACCGTAACCGCGGAGCCGATCACCAGGTCTACACCAGGACTGGACCAGGACTAAACCGGGACTGAACCAGATCTAAACCAGGACTAAACCAGGACTGAACCAGATCTAAACCAGAACTAAACTTAGACTGAACCAGATCTAAACCAGGACTAAACTTGAACTGAACAAGGTCTAAACCAGGACTAAACTTGGACTGAACCAGATCTAAACCAGGACTAAACTTGGACTGAACCAGATCTAAACCAGGACTAAACCAGGTCTAAACCAGGACTTAACCAGGACTAAACCGGGACTGAACCAGGTCTAAACCAGGACTAAACTTGGACTGAACCAGATCTAAACCAGGACTAAACTTGAACTGAACCAGATCTAAACCAGGACTAAACTTGGACTGAACCAGATCTAAACCAGGACTAAACTTGGACTGAACCAGATCTAAACCAGAACTAAACTTGGACTGAACCAGATCTAAACCAGGACTAAACTTGGACTGAACCAGATCTAAACTTGGACTGAACCAGATCTAAACCAGGACTAAACCAGTGTCAGTAGCATAAATACATACATTCTCCAATCGCTGAGCCGATCGTCAGGACTAAACCAGGACTGAATCAGGTCTAAACCGGGACTGAACCATGTCTAAACCAGGACTAAACTGGGACTGAACCAGATCTAAACCAGGACTAAACTTGGACTGAACCAGATCTAAACCAGGACTAAACTTGGACTGAACCAGATCTAAACCAGGACTAAACTTGGACTGAACCAGATCTAAACTAGGACTAAACTTGGACTGAACCAGATCTAAACCAGGACTAAACTTGGACTGAACCAGATCTAAACCAGGACTAAACTTGGACTGAACCAGATCTAAACCAGAACTAAACTTAGACTGAACCAGATCTAAACCAGGACTAAACTTGGACTGAACCAGATCTAAACCAGGACTAAACCAGTGTCAGTAGCATAAATACATACATTCTCCAATCGCTGAGCCGATCGTCAGGACTAAACCAGGACTGAATCAGGTCTAAACCGGGACTGAACCAGGTCTAAACCAGGACTAAACTGGAACTGAACCAGATCTAAACCAGGACTAAACCAGGTCTAAACCAGGACTTAACCAGGACTAAACCGGGACTGAACCAGTCTAAACCAGACTAAACTGGACTGAACCAGGTCTAAACCAGGACTAAACTGAACCAGATCTAAACCAGGACTAAACTTGGACTGAACCAGATCTAAACCAGACTAAACTTGGACTGAACCAGATCTAAACCAGGACTAAACCAGTGTCAGTAGCATAAATACATACATTCTCCAATCGCTGAGCCGATCGTCAGGACTAAACCAGGACTGAATCAGGTCTAAACCGGGACTGAAACTAAACCAGGACTAAAGACTCTAAACCAGGACTAAACCAAACCGTCTAAACCGGGACTGAACCAGGTCTAAACCAGGACTAAACTGGGACTGAACCAGATCTAAACCAGGACTAAACCAGGTCTAAACCAGGACTTAACCAGGACTAAACCGGGACTGAACCAGGTCTAAACCAGGACTAAACTTGGACTGAACCAGGTCTAAACCAGGACTAAACTTGAACTGAACCAGATCTAAACCAGAACTAAACTTGGACTGAACCAGGTCTAAACCAGGACTAAACTTGAACTGAACCAGATCTAAACCAGAACTAAACTTGGACTGAACCAGATCTAAACCAGGACTAAACTTGGACTGAACCAGATCTAAACCAGAACTAAACTTGGACTGAACCAGATCTAAACCAGACTAACCAGGTCTAAATCAGGAACCAGGACTAAACCAAACTCTAAACCAGGACTAAACTTGAACTGAACCAGATCTAAACCAGGACTAAACTTGAACTGAACCAGATCTAAACCAGGACTAAACTTGGACTGAACCAGATCTAAACCAGGACTAAACTTGGACTGAACCAGATCTAAACCAGGACTAAACCAGTGTCAGTAGCATAAATACATACATTCTCCAATCGCTGAGCCGATCGTCAGGACTAAACCAGGACTAAACCAGGACTAAACAAGGTCTAAACCAGGACTTAATCAGATCTAAACCAGTACTTAAACCAGGAGAGCAGCCACCGAGCCGATCCACTGATGGTTTCATGTAATAAAAACACTAAAGTCACTCTCTCAGTCTGGTCCATCGTTCCGGGAAAAGACCAGGAAATGTCTCTTGTTTCCAGGGCCATAGACGTCCTGGAGGTCAAGTATTTTTCTCCCGTTCATCATTCATTTGATTCACCTGACCCGCACATGTGTAATCACTACCCGCTCGTAAAATTCCACAACGTTAAAACCCACCTGTTTCAGCAACTATTTGTTGGACCCGGTGCAGAACTCTGACCTGGAGTTGTGTTTTGTTTCATTCACGCATGTTTAACGCACAAATCCTGCACATTTAGGCCGAGTTCTTCTCTCAAACTGAAAACCTGGTGACTGATGGTCCTGTTCTACCTTGAGAAGTCATGTGGTAATACGGGAAGTGCTCCACTGTGTTTTTAAACTCACCTACACCTTCATTAGAACTGTTTTGATCATTTCAGCCCTGGAATTGCCAATCTCTACT